CCTTCGCTTCCTCCCCCTGGACTGTATGTTCACTACCTCAGTTCACACCATATGAGCCCGTCTCTTTCCTCTTTTTCCTTATGGGATGCTTTTACTTCCTGTTTCCCTTAAAGACACAGGGACTCAGAAATGGATTATACTTCCACAAGTATCACACCCGGCTTCACCTTGCAGAGGGACTGAATGGCAAACCACTCTCTCTAGCAGTGGTTCCCCATGTTGGGGTGACCCCAACCATAAAATTATTTTCATTGCTATTTCGTAACTGTAATTTTGCTACTGTTATGAATTGTAATGTAAACATCTGTATTTTCCAATGGTCTTGGGAGACCCCTGTGGTGTTATCTTGCTTGTACAAATAAAGCTTGTCTGAAGATCAGAGGATGGAGCTTGCCACTAGCTAACCATAGAGGTCTGGAGGTCTGTACAGACAGACTAGAAGTGAGATGGCTGGGCAGAAAGAGGATATAAGTGGGAAGAAACAGAAACTCACTCTCTTTTCCTCTGGGAAGTTAATGAGATAAAGGTGAGTTTGACTTGCTCCTTCTTCTCTCTGATCTCTCAGCATTTTCCTCTATATCTGACTCTGGGTTTTGATTATTTAGACCAATTAAGAACTCCATTTACAGACCCCAGTAAAAGGGTCATTCAATCCCTCAAAGGGTCATGACCCAGAGGTTAAGAATTCCTGCTCTAGTGGTACATTCCCAGTCCCCTCTGGCCTTGAAAGACTTTTCCTTTACTATTACACTCTAAAGTTCTAGAGTTCTCCTTTTCAAGTAGAAAAACACAACTGCTGCTCTGACTATAATATACTTCCAAGGCAGAGTCAGTCAGTTGCCTACAAGAGAGTGATTTATCCTTTCTCAAACAGAACAATCCCCAGATCAATCACACTCCTGGCAGACAGGTAGCCACACCTAAGGCATAAGCATGGGTGAGCAGAATTCCGGAATATCTTTTTAAAAGGACAAAGCAGTTCTTTTTTTACCCCACACTTGGAATACAGACATGAGATTACTATTCAGTGCCATTGCCCAACAGAATTCTCTACCCACCCCCCAACCTCAGAACCTCAGCAGCATTAACATAGATGAAGCCTCACCATTCTTTTTTAAAAATCTTGTTTTGATTTCTAGTAAGCTACCTCATCTTTATCTTGTCCTTAGTTCTCTGGTCACTCAAATTCTTCATGTTGCCTTCTTCCCGACTTCCACGGTTCTTATCACCCCATTCTTTTTCTCTGAATCCTTTTAGGCTTAATTCAGGTCTAAGGTTTTAAATACCATTTGTGCTGTGATCCCATATTCTAAATTCCAAATTGTGATAGGGTTCTCAATTTCCAAATTCATGTATCTCAACTGTCTGCTATCTCCATTTGGAGGTCCAAAAGACATTTCAAAGTTTATTTGACCATGGGTGATGTGATCCAGTGATAGCATACTTCCCTAGGACGGCAGTAAAAATAAAAACAATTTACTAGAAGGAAGCATAATCCGTCCCAACTAGTCCTGGATGGTAGCCTTTCTCATCTCACTCACACTTGTCACCACCTACTCCTGAGCTCCGTGCAAAAAGTATGGCTCCTCTCCTTGCCTCCCAGGCCTGCCCACACACACCTGCAGGTCCTCCTGGCTCTGTGTCTAAACACACTCTTTCTTCATGGTTCCCCATACTCACTGATGCAACCCTGACACATGACAAAAAATCTCTCTCGATAGACCTCTACAAAGACCAACGTATGCCCCGGTGTTCTCCTCACATCTGCATCCTAAGTAGCAGCCCCAGTGGTCCTTTCTAAGTGCAGATCTGATTGTGTCTCTTCTCATAAGCTTTGAGTGATTTGCACTGCCTTGTATGGTGAAACCTAAACTCTCTGCAGAGCAGACAAAGTCCTGGGTAAGTCACCCAGCCTCCTCTGATTTGCCCCCCTGGCAACTCTAGCCTCAAGTCCTGTGCTTTGGACACGGAGGTTTGTTCTTTCTCTCTGTGTTGTGAGCAACTCAAGCCCTTAACTGCTTTGCGATGTTCGTTGCTGGTGATCTTCATGCAACTTGCCCCTGTAGCGCTATCTGCCAGGCCTTCCTCCTATATCCATGGCGCATCTAAGCAACAAAGCACCCAGCTGCCTGCTCCCCATCACTTTCACTATATTTTCCTCACGGGAGACTGTGTTGCTTATTAACTTGTATACCATATGTTGCTTCCAGCCGGGCGTTGGTGGCGCACGCCTTTAATCCCAGCATTCGGGAGGCAGAAGCAAGAGGACCTCGGTGAGTTCGAGACCAGCCTGGTCTACAAGAGCTAGTTCCAGGACAGCCTCCAAAGCCACAGAGAAACCCTGCCTCGAAAAAAACAAAACAAAAACAAACAAACAAATAAAACCATATGTTGCTTCCAACTCCATTATATACTATGAAGACAGGACCTTATAGATTTGTTTACAGCTACATTCACATGATCTGAAACAGTGTCTAATGTGCAATAGATACTCAAAGGACTGCTGTTGAATGTGTCAAACAGAATATCACAATTGGAAGTCACTTAGTCTGAAACATCACTTCAGTATTTAAATTTCTAAATAAGTGGCTTGGGAATTATCTCACTACTCTTTTTAGTCTCTTATAACAACAGTCAATCTAGAGAGGCAAAGCCATCCTTTAGCAATTTGGATTATTCCAAAGCCCTTCCTTCTTCTCAGCGTGGGATCTAATTCCCAATAGCTGTGAACTTGTGTAGCAGCCCCAGTACTTCGGTTGCATGCTTGACAGACAGTATCTTGCATTATCTGAAGAGAGCAATTGGACCTTTTCTTGATTTAATGATCTCAGTCTTCATTATTGAATTGAATCGAGGGCCACGCACATGCTAGCTAAGAGTCCTAATCACTGAACTATACCTATAGATCTCCTTTTACTTCTTTATTTTGAGACAGGGGTGTCTCTAAGTTGCACAGGCTATAGCGTTGAACTTCCTCTGTAGCCCAGGTAAGCTTTCAATTTGTAATCTTCTTGCCTCAGATTCCTGAGTTTCTGGAATTATAGGCCTGGACCATGAGGTTCAGTTTGGCCTTGTCTTAAGAGTTGTGAACAGTTGGAGGAAGCCTTCTGCACAATCCAAGAGTGCTAGAGATTATAATTAGGTTGTATATTTAGCTGTCATCCACACTGTAGTAGTCAACTGTGGCTCAGATTATCATATCTCATCTGGCTGGAACAACTGATCTCTTTCTCAGCAAGCATGGCCTGATTGAAACTAGCGCTTTCCTCCTTCCAGTTCAAGCTTCCACCATTTCTAGTTCAGGTACCTCCTGTGCTGTCTAGTGCTTACCACTTCTCTAATCTCAGAGTGGTACAGTCACTCCTCAGCCTCTTGAATTCCTGGAACCATTTAATGATATGAGCCAAGAGGACCTATTCTATTTTGGCATCCTTTTTTGCAAAAAGGTCAGATTTCCCACATGTGTAAACTGAACTATCAGCCTCCTTGAACTTCACATAGACGATTACATTCACCTGAAGCCAATCAGTGTTTTGAACAAGCAGCAGGGAAGACATGGAGCGATCAGAGAAATCTAAAACCAGAGCACGAAGCTGGAATAGTCTTGATGAAGCACTCTTAACTGCCTGTCATAAATAGCCTGACGTGCAATGTTATTCCTTCCTGGCTCCCCTGATAGTAGCCAAAGAAAACACAAATTACTCCAAATCAGAGTAGACATCAGTACCTTCTAGAGTCATCTATATTGTAACTTTATTCCCTTGACCTCCAAAGTACATGGGCATCTCATTTAAATCACTTGTGTAAGAACAATATCGAGGGGTTAGTGATTAAATTTAAAAAAAAAATGATAAGATCATTTGAAAACATTCTGCATTGTAGTAGTGTGTTCGAATGTTGATAAGGTTGAAGAATAAAATTATATTAACATGAAGTCAAGAAGTTCTGGCGTCAGACGTGGTGATGTACACTTTTAATCCCAGCACTCTAGAGGCAAAACTAGGTGAATCTCTATGAGTTCGAGGCCAGTCTGGTCTCCATAGCAGATTCTGAGCCAGATATATATAGGGAGAACCTGTCTCAAAAAGAAAAAATGTTCTGGAAATGCCCCAAAGCACTGAGAGAAAGATGCCTAGAATAGTCTGAAGTGTATGATTAGCTGTGTTTCAGGAACTAGATTGAAAACCAAAACCTGTAGTCCTATGAATATGCATATGCATACATGTACAGGTGCTGGCAGGCAAATTGGGTCTGTTTCTGTTGACTTGCTGTCTCTGTAGCAAGGGAAGTTCGTAAGGGAATCTACACCATCTTCCACAGATTAATATCCCCTCCTGCCATCGTTTGAAAGTCACGTTTTTGTTTGTTTGTTTGTTTGTTTGTTTGTTTTGATTTTTCGAGACAGGGTTTCTCTGTGTAGCTTTAGAGCCTATCCTGGCACTTGCTCTGGAGACCAGGCTGGCCTCGAACTCACAGAGTTCTGCCTGCCTCTGTCTCCCAAGTGCTGGGATTAAAGGCGTGCGCCACCAACCCCCGGCATCAGATTTCATTCTTAATAAGTATAAATCTTTTGACCTGTTACTAGTACTCATTAGAGCTTAACCTATGAGGCTAAACCAGCAGATCTCAACTTCAAGAACCAGGTGGTCTCAGAGAAAATACAAACATCAACCTGCAAATCTTTATTCTGTTAGTGAAGCAATGCCACCTGGGCCTGTGCTGGCACTCGGCTCATGTATTAAATTATCTCCACACTTACTGGAAAGAGCTCTAGCCTCTTCAAATGTGTTCTTAGAAGAATGTGCCTTCCTTCCTCCTCCTTAAAATTGCTAGAGTTTTATCAAGTTTACTCTCAAGTTCAGCTAAGAATTGAAAACAGCAGTGAAGTCAATTTGAAACTGATCCCTCCTCCCTAAAATTGCTAGAGTTTTATCAAGTTTACTTTCAAGTTCAGCTAAGAATTGAAAACAGCAGTGAAGTCAATTTGAAACTGAACTCACAGCATTGTGTGATCTTTTGGATGTTAGAAGAGATGCGCTGTGCCAGCTGAGCAGGGTCCCCACCAATCCCTGGAGTGTAAGACATGGCTGGTTGGCTGGCTGCCTGATGTCATCAGATGCAAGTGGGTTGTGTGGTTTTCTAGGAGTCACCTAAAAAATATAAAAGTTGCACAATTATATTTTTAGAATTAATGCTGTACATTTCCCAAATTACCCACCTGGGAGATTAGAGGGTTGAAAAAGGAAAATTACTAAAGATTTTCTAAAAAGCATTTATCAAGTATAAACATATAGGTTGTATACTTTGGTATGATTAATATGGAGAACAAAGGCTTAGACATGAAGACCAGCTGGAGGGATCTAGAACATGTGGAAAAGATAAATGATATGTATCCAAGGAAGGGGAAGTTCGTGGCCAGCCCTGGACCAAATGATTCATGGCTGTTGCCAGTGGGAGGCAACCCAGAAAGGGAAAGAGGGGAATGACCTAACGGTTCCCACGTACCTGTGAAAGGAAAACAGTTCACACCAGCTGCCCAGCTTCACTGCACAACCTCCCCTTTAGTTTTTGGCCTTTTTTTATTTTTTCATTTCATTTTACATTCCAACCACAGTTTTTCCTCCCACGCCTCCTCCCACCCCCTCGCCTCCTCCCATCCCCCTCAATCTCCCCCAGTCCACCCCCAGGCAACTCCTCCTCACGGGTAAGGGCTCCGATGAAAAGTCAACATAGACTGGCACAATAGGTTGGGGAAGAGCCAGGCCCCTCTCCCATCCACTAAGGCTGAGCATGGCCTCCCACCATAGGGAAAGGGCTCCAGCAAGGTAGCTCATATCCTGGGGTTGTATCCTGTTCCTACCGCCACTGAGCATGGGATCTTACCCTACGGAATGGGCTCCAATAAGTTAGCTCATGTATCAGTTTTGTATCATGGTCCCACTGCCAGGGGTCCCTCTGACAGTTCAAGCTTCACAACTGTCTCCCACATACGGTGGGCCTAGTTCAGATCCCTCGAGTCTCCAAAGTTGTAGGTCTAGAGCTAATCAGTTTCCACAAGCTTGGTTCAGCTGTCTCTATAGGTTTCCCATCATGATCTTGACCTCCCTTGCTCATATGTTCCCTCCTCCCTCTCTTCGTCTGGCTTCCCGGAGCTCAGCCTGGTTCTTGGTTGTGGATCTCTGCATCTGGTTCTGTCAATTCCTAGATGAAGGCTCTGTGATGGCAGGGTAGTCACCAATCTGATTACAGGGGTAGCCAGTTCGGGCATCCTCTCCACAACTGCTAGGAGTCTTAGCTGTGGTCCTCCTTGTGGATTCTTGGGAGTTACCCTAGCACCAGGTTTCTCCCTAAGTCCATAGTGACTTTCTCTATTAAGATATCTATTTCATTGCTCTTCTATTGCATCTCTCCCCACCTCGGCCGCATATACCCTCCTGTTCTCATCCCCCTTATAAGCACGCACCCCCAGTTTATCCTGTAGATCTCATCTAATTTCCCTTCCTGGGGCGAGCCATGTGTCCCTCTTAGGGTCCTCTTGGTTACCAAGCTTCTATGGAGCTGTGGATTGTAGTCTGGTTATCCTTTGCTTTGCATTTACTATCTACTTATGAGTGAATACATACTGTATTTGTCTTTCTGAGTCTACAACCTCCCCTTTAAAGTCCTCTGTAACTGTTTTTGGCACAAACTATGTCTTATAACGATTAAGTAACTGGTCCAAAGTAACAAAACCACTCATTGATGAAGGTGAGATTTAAGCCTAGGGTTTCAGGTTCCAAAGTTACCTGTGTTTGCTAACATGGAGAATAATTATCTCAGAAGAATGAGTCTTGGTTTCCAGGTTTAGTTTGACCATAATCCAGTACAAAAACACTGTGATTTCCAACAGATAAGAGTACAAGGACACTAAAATCTGGTTATGTTCAAGTTTCTTAGGCTTTGTGCATAGTTGTTACAATGTATTATTTAGGGAATAAGGTTTAAAAAAGAAACCTGTATGTATGTTCTATACTGATATAACTGAGTGATATTTTTGATGCATGGTGGGTTGAATCTACAAGCAAGGAACACGATGGTAGGGAAGGTACAAAGGGACAGTAATGGGAGGAAGTAGAACAGCTGAGCTGGCTCTGTGCATTGTGGAATGTGCCTGGTCATCAGACAGTCTTGGGAGCTTTGGTGTATTTCCACTCTCCTTCCTTGTTCCACGAAAACCAGGTCCTAAATAAAGCCTCAAAACCAATTCATTAAAAGCAAATTCAAACCTTAACCAACAGTTGAACCACAACAACAGGGTAGCAGGAATAAATTCCCTTCCAGGACTACACCATATAAAGAGCTGGGAACCAAGCTAAGTAAGACCAGACCTGAAAAGATAGGTATGATGTTATACACTTGTAGTCCCAGCACTGGAGTCACTAAATTGTGAAGATCCAGAGTTCAAGATCAGCTTAGGCCTGAAAGTCAATTACTCTAACACCATTTTAAGCATTCTGTGAACCAATTAAACCAATTAGATCTCTCCTTTTCATATCTGTAGATTTTTTAACATCTCTCTCTGTCTTTCTGTGTCTGTGTCTGTGTCTGTGTCTCTGTCTCTGTCTCTCTCTCTCTGTGTGTGTGTGTGTGTGTGTGTGTGTGTGCGTGTGTGCATGCTACTGTGTGTGGAGATCAAAGGACAACTTTCAAGAGTTGATTGTCCCCTCTCACCCTGGGCATCCTGGCGATCAAACTCAGGTCATCAGGCTTGGCAACAGGTGTCTTTACCTGCTGAGCCAGCTTGCTAGAGCCATCCTTTAAAAAGTAAGATCTTTATTAAGATATAATCCATATACCACACAATCCAGCCATTTAAATCATATAACCCAGTGGTTTTTAATGTTAACAGAGCCATGTGGTAATCACCATGTAACTTTTTAAATGCACATTACTCTGAGAAGCAAGTCCCTACCTATCATTTTTCATCTCCTGTTTGTCCTCAACCTTCTCAGTCATAAAACATAATTAATCCACTTGTATGCTTTTCTATTCCAGGTGTTTCACATGATTGGAATCATATATTACATGTTCTTTGTAAGTGATTTGTTTCTCTTCCTTGTGTTTTCAAGGACCATCTTAGAGTACCGCAATCCTTTTAATTGACAAATAATATTGTAATACATGGATAAGGGCCATTTTCTCTTGGCTCAATGGCATCTTTCTCTAACAGTCAGGCTTCCAAAACACCTGTGGTTTATAGCCACCATCAACATACTGTGAATGACTCCTCCTTTTAACCATGGGCACAGGTAAGTCTCACATCCATATCTACAAGTGAAACCCCTAACACCCTCTCTCTCCAGTGTCTATTTGTTTTGAAAGTTATTAGAACTCACTAACTGC